AAAAAAAAAAGAGGCAAATGATCATTGAAATAAAAACTTGAACATTTAAGTAATTTTAATTTCCTATATTAAATGATTGCAAAATGTCTGTGTTCTTGATAAGTGTATTATGAATGACATAAGAACAATATGATTGAATATAAATAGTTATTTCTTGAAATGTTGATGAACAGTTTGTAATAAGCTGTTTAAAAGTCTGTTCCTACTTTGGCTTACCTTAATACTTGTTTTTAATGCCTCACCTAGCAGGGAAAGAAACCAATCAAAACATTTGGATCTCAGACTAAGGAAGTGTTGGCTGACTATACCTTCTAAATCATGATAATCGTTTTTACTTTGGTCCAGAATTATGCCAGTGGTTTTTGAAATGCAATATATAATTTGGTATAGCTGAGTTTTTTTCTTTATTACATTAGTTTCCATATATGTATGTGTGTGTGTGTGTGTGTATGTAACATATATATAAAGTATATATGTTTGCTGGTTGGCTTTTATGTTTACTTATTTCCCGTGAGTCACATATCCAGAAGGTGTAGTGAGGAAGATTTTGTGAGCATATATTTCCTCCCCATCTTTCCCATAAAAAAAACTAGTGAGTGACCTGGGAAAAAAATGCCTGAGAAGAATCTTTAAGAGAATATAATACCAAAGCACAAAGCTAAAATACTCAATTTAAAAAAGTAAAGCTGTTTGCTTTTATTGGAAAGTAACTAGAGGGAAATATACTAAAAGGAACTATTTTAATAGGTAACCCTGGAGACATGCAAATGGATGAATTTTGTCTTTTTCATCATGCTTTTCTTTTTCTTCTCCCAAGGCTTCAATAAAGAACACATAATCGTTTTAAATCATAAATACAAAGACTGTTGTTTTAAAATAAGATGACACTCTTAAAAAGAAGTGACAGGTGACCTTTGAATTTCAGTCCCAGCTTAGCTCTGCCTTTACTCTGTGCAAAGTGTAGCTATAACACAATCTTTGATGTTGATGAGAAACCTGAGTCAATCACAAAACCTTAAATTCTGTCACATACACTGTGCTTATGTCAAGAAAGAAACCATTTTAGATTGGTCTTTTTAGAAGTTAAAGACTTCTGAGCTGTCTGATAATTTTCCACATGATGCCAGCAGAATAAAGATTTGAGTCTCTCATTATACAATGTCGTTGAAGATATCCAGAAAGGTAGAACACAGAGGAGATATATTCTGTGTAATTTTTACTGTGAATGAATCTGAAATGATATGTATAATATAAAAGTACTTTTCAAGCTTTGTGCCATGGAAACTTTAGATCTCTGAGAAGCAAGCAGAGGACTTTCCCACTTCTCGCCTGTTTTATATTCAACAGGTTCACTTTAGCCATAGCAATGGTGTGTTGATCAATTTTACATGCTGGAGGTTTCCTCACAAGTTTTGATTTGAAAAAAGTAGTGTTTTACTGCTAAGTATATGTCCACCACCACATTGTGGAGCGAATGGGGCAGATGCATATAAACTAAGTATATTTTAAAAGATCTTTGATTGTAACTATGTGCTTCTATCCATTCTCTTCTGAAAGACAAGCTATTAGCTCAGGCTAAGGCAGGGAAGACAGGAGAAATGACCCCGTACCTTAATCTGGAAGCAGGGCTGAACAATTTTCTGAAGCCATTAGAAGACTTCTCCACAAAGTTGTTTGTGGGAACAGAGGTGAGTTGCAATAACCTGCTTTTTAAAATCAAGATTTTAAATTACATTAAGATGAATGACTGCAGCTCCTATTATCCATATTTGCTTTTTGAAGGCTTACAATATGAATACCACTTTCATATTTTAACAGACTTAGTTGCATTTAACTGTTAACATCACTACCACATGGATTCATTATTTTAAGTGTCCCAGAGCAAATGTGGAAATTTCTATAAGCTTGTTAATAATTTACTGATCAAGCTGTATAATGTATCAAACACCTATACCTTATGGAAGAAACCATGCTAAATGTTAGAGATTTAATAAGAAAGTATTTTGTTTTCTTAGATTAGTACAGTCTAATAGGAAAAACAGTAAGAAAACTCACTCAATTCAGGGCTTCCTTGGTGACACAAGGGGTTAAGATGCAGCATTATGAAATTACCTGCAGCCACTGCAGTACAAGTTCAATATCTGGCCAGGGAGGTGACCCACATGGTGTAGCAGACCTTTCCTGTCTCACGCATTGCTCCCATCAGCAGTGTATTTCAGTCAATTCACCTGTTCTGCTCCCCACTCTGTCTCTGGTGAATCCTCTTGGCACGCCCCCCCCCACACCTTTGGCCTGTACCTCAGCTCTTGTATGCATAAATAAATAAATTCTAAAAAACAAAAGAAAATTCACTCAATTCAAGAAACAAAGAACAATTGAATATATCATTATGACATTAGCTGCCATTTTTTAAAGATTTATTTATTTATGCATACAGAAATGGGGTACAGGCCAGAGGTGCAGGGACAGTGAGATGATTCACCAGAAACAGGGTGGGGAGCAGAACAGGCCGACTGATGAAGTACACTGCTGAGGGGAGCAGCAGGCAGGTCAGGAGAGGTCTGCTGCACCATATGGGTCACCTCTGGGGTGGGGATCAAACTCATGTTGAAGTGGCTTTGGCTTCTTAGTGCTGCACTTTAACCTGCTGTGCCACCAGTGAGGGCCCAGATTTATTTATTTATGCATACAAGAACTGGGGTACAGGCCAGAAGTGAGGAGGTCGAAAGGATTTACCAGGGACAGAGTGGGGAGCAGGACAGGCAGATCCACTGAAGCTGCTGAGGGGAGCAGCCCCGCAGCCAGTGGGTCAGAAGAGATCTGCTGTGCCATGTAGGTCACCTCCCTGGCTGGGGATCAAACTCAGTGCTTCAATGGCTGCAAATAGCTTCACAGTGCTGTGCTTTAACCCATTATGCCATAAGGGAGGGCCCCAAAGTTTAAACTTTTCTTATAAATTTCTTTTTGCTTAGAAGAACCCAGAGGTGTGGGGATATGAGGGTGGGGTGGTGAGGGGACTCACCAGAGACAGAGTGGGGAACAGAACAGGTGGACTGACTGAAATACACTGCTGAGGGGAGAAGCAGGTGAGACAGGAGAGGTCTGCTGCACCGTATGTGTAGGTTAGCTTCCAGGTGGGGGATCTAACTCAAACCACAGAAGTAATAGTGGTGAGACTTACCCTGTGGCCACCAAAGAGGTCCTAATTTTTTTTTAAATTATGACAAATTATAAACAACAACTTAGCATCTTAGCCATTTTAAATGTGTAGTCTAGTGGTATTAGGTATATTCTCATGATTGAGCTCCCTCTCTAGAACTTTTTTTCAATCATCTCATGTTCAAATTCTATTCCCATTAAAACAATAACTCCCTGTTCTCCTTTGCTCCATCTCAGGGCAACCACCATTGTACTATCTGTCTCCTTGAATCTGGTTATTTTCGTCTAAGTGGAATCATGTTTGCCTCTATACATATTAAAGTTTTTAAAGTAAGGCAGTAAATGACAGCTTTAGAAAGGTAAATAATCATCAGACCTTGAAACAGAACAGAAAGCTTGACATCTTCTCCTTAAAAGTCACAATGACAGGAAGAAAATCCAATCTCCTGTCCCATGGCCAATCAGTACCCATGAACTTGGGCTCATGACAGCCCCATCTGCACCCATCTTCCTTCCCTCCTTCCAGCTGCTCTCAGGTCCTCTCATTCTTCATTGACAAGAACTCTTTCCTGCCTTCCAAGTCCTTGTCTGGTTGGAATTCCTCCATCTTTCTCCAGATATTTAATTGAGCATTTAATAGATCCCAGGTGCTGTTCTTGCTATAGGAAATAGAGCAGGGATTAAGATGCAAATCCCTGCCCTTGTGAGGCTGACACTCCATTGCAACCATCTCTGTCACTGGGGTTATGATTGATGCTTCTGCTTTGCATTGAGAGATTAAGAACAGTCTCTCAGGGACCCACGCTGGCTGGCTCAGGGCTGAAGTAGGAGGGCATGAAGGCCTGAAAGCAGAGGGGCCTGCCCTGAGGTGATTTTAGGTGGCCAACCCAGAGATAAGGAAACTAAGGATGTCAATGTCAACCCAGAGGCCAAGGGATCTGGGATCCTCAGAACTAGGTAACAGGATGGAGACTGTAGAGGCTTCCGGCTAGATGGTTGTGATGTATGGGCTCTCTATACACATTTAGTAGTCTAGTTCACATGATTTTTTTTTTTTTTTTTTTGGTTTGGTATAGTGTGCCGGGTACTAGCTGTGAGAGGCAAGACCTCTAGTAATTCATGAACAGGAGGTTGGGCTCACATACAAGAAACTTCCAGGAACTCTGGCAAATTCTGAGTGCTCCACAGATGGTAATTTTTAAGGGCATTGTGTCATGGGCACCAGACCAGACTTGACAACTAGACAGACACCAACCTGTCTTTTTCCCTTAGAATGTACCAAAAGTGGAGGGAGGCCCTTGCCTCTGGTCTGAATTCCCAACACCAAGCACAGTTCTTGTTTGTTGAATGGACAGACAGGGATGAATAAAGGCACAGAGGAGTGAATGAGTGAACCATGCCCCCCAGGACTTTACCCTTCATTTTGCACATCTCAGTGGTTTTGCCATCTCCCTGTCTTTGTCTACATAAACCAAACCATCCATTCCTCTGAGACCTCCTTACTCTGTATATATACCCTTACCTGTGTTTTCTTCTTACTACCCAGTGGGAAAAAAAGTTGGCATGAGGAGAAGTCATTCTAAGCATCAGTAAGAAAGCAAAGGACTTAATATTTTCTCCAAACTTCTTCCTCCCTTGTCATTCGCTCTCTGTCTATGTCTCCCCTTTGTGTGGCTGTTTCTGCCTCTCTCCACCCCAAGTCCCTTTCCCTTCTCTCTCCTTAAAATGGCTGTAGTAGAATATGCTAGAATATACTGTGTGTGGTATTTGGGTGTGGCCTTACGTGTCCTGTACTGTATTATGAATTCATAGTCCTTCTTATTCCACAAGTATTTATTAAGCACTAACTTGGTAACATATTGAGAATAATCACTGAGGAAGTCAACCTAGATCTCTTCATCCTGGACCTTTCAGTCCATCGGGACTGTGTTCTGTTAACAAAATCCTGAAAAACCCAGCAGTTGGGAGACTTGTGTGCTTAGACTGTCTCCATAATTGCTTTTGTTCTTCACAACAATAAAAATGCAACACATTCATTTTTTGCTCATTGTATATCCATCATTTTGACCTCCCCTCAACCCAGTACCAAATCATTGTTTAAACTAACCTGTTGCTTTGTGCTTGTGTTACAGACAGTCTTAGCATGGGAATGGGAGGTCTTTGTCTCTTAACTTGTCCTTGTATTCATCACCATGCTGTATTTCTAGGAAGGTGAAGTAATATACACAGACTGGAAAATGGAAAGAGACCCTGAAACCGGCCGACTGGTGGGTAAGTGTTGAGGACTGCTTTTTCTGAACAAGTTGTTCCTTTTTTATGAAGCCCTTGGTAGGCCCAGCTTTGCTCCAATGCAGGAGGGCATCTGAGGTTCCGCACTTGTTACTGCAAGTGAGGACTTCAGACAGGCAGCACCAATGTCACCTGGGAGCTGGCTACAAGTAGAGAATCTTGGGTCCTCCCAGGTCTACTGAATCTGCATGTAGATTGCAGTAAGTTTCGCACCATAATTTGTTCTCACACCACTATTCAAAGAATGTGGAAATCATAAACACAGAAAATTATAGGTTCCAGGTTGTTTATTAGCTGTATTTACAACAGCTAAGATAGGAAAGCAACATCAGTGGCCACTGGTAGGTAAGTGGATAAAGATGGCATAATATCCACATAATGAAATGCTATTCCACTTTCACTTATCATAAAGGTCAGAAAGATAAAAACAAATATTAGAGGACTCCACACATGAGTAATATAAGGAAACAAATGGATGAACAGATAAACCAAAATCATTATAAACGAGCAGACATTGAGAACCAAACAGGTTTCTGAGGTTAAGACAGAGGAAGAGGGAGAAGGATCAAGAGGCTATAAGAGACAGTGGTGGAGAAAAATAACATAGGATGGATAGATAGCTAGATAGATGGTAGATAGATAGATACATTAATTGATTGATAGATGGCAGATTGATAGAAAGATGATAAATTGATAGGTGACAGATAATAGAAATACATAGGGCAGATTTTCTTAGATCTTAACTACAAAAACTGAGAAATACTTGATGTAGTGATGCTCAAAGGACTGAGAAATTGCGTAATTTAATTTAAACTAACAATGCTAATATCTAAGTTCATGTCAAATTGTAAGCTAATCTGTGAAAACCTCAGGGCTGTCTGGGAGAAGACACGGTAGCACCCTCCTTTGGGACTGGCGCTGGTCCAGGGACCCTCCTCTTGGCAGTTGAGCAAGATACAAAGATCACATTCAAGTTTACAGAGAAATCAAAAATCAAATGTCCTCTGGGAGCCAGGGCCTTATGTTGTTTCTGAGAGGACCCATGGCAAACAGGTTTAGTTATCTATTTCAGTGGATTTTCATCCATGTTTAAAACAACCAGTGACAATACATTTAATAATTAAGAGCCTTGCATTAGAACCTCATGGATATTTGTTCTTTCGTTCATTCATAATTACTGTTGTGGGCCTACTATGTGCTGGGCATGGTGATACAAAATGACCAATATATTATCCTTCCCCAAAGGAGTTCTATGATCCATTAGGAAAGTCAAACACTTAAACAACATTACACTGTGTGAGGACTATGGCTGAAAACAAATTAAAAGAGATGGGGGAACTGGGAAGGGACTGACTCTCGTAGGCTGTTAAGAAAAGGACCCATTGGAGAAAGAGAGAGTTGATCTGAATCTTAAGAGTAGATAGCAGTTTTCCAAGTACTTTGTTTCCAAAGAAACAGGTACGAAAACATGGACGCTCAAAAGAGCAGTAAACAATTAGCAGACAGGGAGAGCCTATGGTCAGATCATAGCAATACAGAGGCCAACAGGAGTGCAAATGAGACGGACAGCTGGGTCCCGATGGCCAAGAACTTTGTACATCCTACTAAGACTTTCAACTTGACCCTAAAGCCTCAGTTATTCTTTTTAATGATTTATTTATTTATACATATAAGAACTGGAAGGGGAGCAGCAGGCAAGACAGGAGAGGTTTGTTAGGTACTGTGAATCAGTTCCCTGGCCATCTGGGGATCGGACTCCAGTGCTCTAGTGGCTGGCCATTGCTTGATAGTGCTGTCTTTAACCCCTGCACCACCAGGGAGGCCCCTAAAGCCATAACTATAATAGAAAATCACTCTGGCAGAAGGGCAGGGGTTGCTTAATTTATTGGTGGGACTCTAGCCCAGGTAAGAGACAGTGAGGACTAATGTAAAGGCATTATAACTGGGATATACCATTGAGGAAATATGAGGGAGAGAGCTATAAGAAGTCAGCTGGCTAGGACCTTGTGACCAATGGGATGTAGTTGGTCAGGAAGTAGAGAAGTTGCTTTTAATTTCTTGGCATTTGATTTACTCAAAAAATGGGGGATGGCTTTAATCACAATGGCGTATCTGCCTCAGCCTAGCAATAACCAGTGCTCTGGTCCGACCAGCCGTTGTGGGTCTTGTAATTACAAGACACCCTTTAGCAATTACCATCAGGAAACTGGTGGTGGTGGCTGCGGGGGTGAGGGGGGTGGTTAGGGGATTATTAGTCACAGGATCTGGAAATTTCACTGCACACCTGAGGCCACACAGTGAGGTGGGGGGAGGGGAAGGTCACAAGGAGCACACACTCAAACACTCTAGCCTAGGGTTCTGCTTTTATTGGGGTCAACAGTGGGAGCCTACAATTCACTCTCAGATGGTGAAATTAAAGCACTGAGAGCAGGAACGTAAAGCAGGGGAAGAAAAAAACAAAACCAAGTGCTCCCAATGGCCAGTTATCAATATCAACTAAGATCTTTTAGACAAAGGAGTCTCAGTAGGAGAGAGAGCCTGGCTCTTTATCTAGTTGCGTGACTGGCAGAGTGTTTATTCAAGATAGCATTCTTTGAAGTGGATGATTTGGCAATCAAAGCTTAAGTCAGGCACTTGCATTACAAAAAGGAAAAGTCAACTGTCTGGACTCAACACTATAGCCACCTACTTACAGAATAATTTAAAATCACACCACTTTAGTAATAGAAAATGCTTCAAGATCATCAGTCAAATATTTGCTAACACAAAAAGCCCAACAACACCGCTATTCCCACTGGGTGGTGGCTGAAGTTCAGGGGATGCCGATGTGTAGCCTCTGGATTGTACCCCACTAGCTTAGTTAGTCTGCGAACTGGCAGCGTCTTCCCTGGGCGCTACTAGCCTCATGTTTCACAAACACCCTGGAGGATTCCCCAGGGAAGAAGAGACACTCTGAACCCAGGCCCTCTTGATCTGCTGAGAACCTCATGTTCTTATCTCAAATGTGCCATCCACAAGGAGAGTTTCCTCTTCTTAGAGGAAACCTCTGAAAAGCAGCTTACCCTGACAGATGTGTGTGATACAGCAGGTCCAATCAAACAACATGCCCAGAGGATCTGAGTGCCAAGCCAAGAAAGGCAACCGACATCTGACATGTTGGTTTCATGCATTCTACTCTTAAATCAGCCAGACTCTTCTGAGCACTTGCCTTGGTCTAACACAACCATTTGGTGATCTCACAGAAACCCTGAGGTGTAGCTTCCAGAAGTGTCACTGCCAGGACTTGAAACCAGGCAGGCTGT